ACGGGAACTGTTTTCAAAAAAATTGTATTTAACCTGTACGCCTACTAAGAAGGTGTGCGCAATAACTCAAAAGTTAAATGCCCTTAAATCTTTTTTCTTGCAATAGGGGACTAATAATCATGGGATCGTGGGTTCGACATGTTTCTAATCCATTTTAAATTTTTCTGAAACATGTTGCACTTCGTCTGGAAATCTATAATAAATGGGAGGTGGGAATATCTGAAGTCAGCCCGGGTCAAGAAACACCATCCATAGGGGTTGTCCATTAATCACGTGAGGCTTGAAAGGGGGGGGGGTTGATAAAAATCACGAAAATAACACAAGGGGGGGGGGGGGGTATAGTAAGATATCTCGTGTATTTATTTTTTCGTCAAACGCGCGATTTTTAAACAAATGGTGTAGACATTTTTATTATGGTCCTTAATTTCAGAATAAAATAAGATTATAGTTTATACCTGTATTTATATTAAGAAAATATTCAGAAAATTTTAAGATTCTTTGTAGATACTAAAATACACGTGATGTTAAGAAGGGGGAGGGGGGGTGGTCTTAAACCTCACTACGTATCACAAATGGGGGAGGGTGGGTTTAAAAGTTCTAAAAAAAGGTCACGTGATTAATGGACAACCCCATAGATGAAAAGGCCGTGGATTTTAATCACGTTTTGCGTTCAGTCTGTGGATTTTCAAATTTTAATAGCTAATATTTTAGCGACAGCGTCCTCTTCATAAAAAAAAAATCTTTAACGTTTCCATGGCTGTTGAATTCATCCGAAGTTACGTCTCAGTCAAAAATAAATTTACTTTAATTTAATTAATATTTTTTTATTATTTTCATTTATATACTACTCTTTTAGTATTCATTGCTAAATTAATGAAGACGTAAAAGCATTATAAATTTAATTTCTCAAAGTTACAACATTGAAATATAATCTATCTAAGACCCGACAATTGACATACGAAAAAAAATGTGAAATCAAAATTAAATTAAATCTACGTAAATAATTACTTTACTTTCATACATTATACATTGAAAATATTGGACTCAGTGGGGATCGAATCCACGACCCGATGATTATTGGCCGTACGTTGCTACCAACGAGCCCGACAAATGTTTAATGTTTCCACTTATGCAAAATTTCTTATAGTGGACATTTTTTTATTATTTTTGTGAAATAATAGTCAAAACATTATTTTGATTGAAGCAAGTCGATGTAACCGGTGTAGCATACACAACGTGATGAGGTTCGAGTCCAGCCATGGTCAACGATGTTTTTAAGAATGTTTCTAGAATAATAATAATTCTATAGATAAAAAAAATACACGCGCGGGAATTGAACCGGCATCGACAGCGTTCTGTGCTGCTGTTGAACAACAGAAGTTCAGAGGAACAGGTACGTGTCGTAAAGTTTGTTAAAATTAAATACGGGTGGGACGTGGTCACGGGGAGTCTCCCTGTGACCACGTCTGCTGCAAAGCATCCGAAACGTCGGGCCGAAGTTAAAAATCATTTTCAAATAAGTTTAACTAATATATCGCGTTTTAAACCGTTAAAGTGTTTTATTTAAATGTGTACTACTCGCGTAAACTATAGACCGTATTAAATTTAAATAGATTTTTTATTTATTTAATGGCGACACGTGAAAAATATTAAACTTTTAAATTTCATTGTTCACGAACCATGTCTTAAGTCAAATAAAACTCGTGCGTTACCTAAAGAGGAAAATTAAAAAACAAAACAAACACACTAATGTGCTAAATATACAAGTTTTAAGTGAAAAGCTTTACGTGTAAGTCAAAACCAAGTTATTCTTTGAATAGGCAAAAGTAGGTATCGATTATCTTGATGTACGTTAAAAAACTCATAGCAATTATATAGCTCAAATTTAAAAACTGTCTGTAGTTTACGCGTGTAGAACACTTAAACAGTTGAAGTGTAACTATTTCAAACGCGATATATATTCGGATTTTGCAGTCGCCGTGGTCACGGGGAGACGCGGCTGCTGCAAAGCTTCCGAAAGATCGGGTTAAAATAATTTTCAAATATGATTAACTTATATATATCGCGTTTTAAACCGTTAAAGTATTTAAAAAAAACCAGTTGTAGTCAAAGACATTATACCCCATTTCTTTATGTGATCAGGTCAGCTATATCTTTCATCAACATCATCATCATCAAAGATCAGACTTTTGATAGATTTAATTTCATTTGAATCAACCTTTTGACCCACTCGTGGGTCCAATGATAGCAATATAACGTATAACGGGTTTGATTCCCACTGACCAAAAAACCAAACCAAAACATTTTGATACCTTATAATCATTTTCAATTATAAATTAACTTGTCATATGAAATGGGGGGGGGTCCACAGATAAGCTGTCAAATTTAATCATGTTTTAGTCTGTGGACTTCCGAATATCCGAAGCCAAAATAGATCGACCGCGCATCTTGGTTAGGTGTTAATAGTAGCATATGGCTAAAGTATTTCAACTACATAAAAAATCAATGTTTTTATATTATATTTTTTACGATACAGGACAGACAAGCATAGGCTTGGTTCACCTGATGGTAGCTGATATACCCCAACCTATATATAGCATCTAAACAAGATGCGCTATCGGCCTATTTTGGCTTTGGATATTCGGAAATCCACAGATGAAACCGAGCCGCGGTTAAACTTCACGGCTTTTTCAACTGTGGCTTGTGCGCCGGACGGAATTTATATATTCCTACCATCCATTTAATATCTAGATTTCTAGATAAAAAAATATATTTCAGAAAAATTTTCGAAAAATCAGAACCATGTTGATTGTTAGCCATACATCGCAACCATTTGACAAACGGCCCCGTGAAATCAAGCCAAATTTACCATTTATAGAATACCTATCTACTTAAATTTAAAATTCACGTGATTGTGCAGACGTCGTCGGACAAAAGAAAAATAAAAAATAGATTTATTTGCATTAAGATTTTAAAACATGCGCGTAAGCATTCAGGTGTTTAAATGCAAAAGTGATATCAAATAAACTATAATGGTCAAGTGCGAGTTTAATTCGCGTACGTGGGCCTGGTGACAGCGAAGTATACAATACTAGCTTTTAAATAAACCACTTTAACGGTTTAAAACGCGATATATTATTACTTTTTTCAAATTAGTTTAACTAATATATCGCGTTTTAAACAGTTAAAGTGGTTTATTTAAATGTGTACTACTCGCGTAAACTATAGACAGTGTCTAATACTAGCTTTGTCAGCGACTTTGTCCGCGTAGAATTGGTTTTTGGGCATCCAAATTCATTTTTGCAAACCCCTTGTTCTTTTAAACTTAAGCTGTTATCACGACGTCGGTCGCGTCCCTTCCCGTCGTTCTTGCAAGTTAATCTTAAATTTTTTTAGATCATTTATAGAGGAATCATTCTTTCATATATATTTTTGGCCACCTTGAACCGTTTTTGCAGCGTGCGCCTCGAAAACCCGTAATGATGAATATTTTTATTATTTTTTTATTTTTTGCGGTATGTTTGCTTGTATTAGTCACACATGTTTTATAGCCTTAGCCTTTTTCGAAAAATGCTCTAACCAGCACAAAAAGAATTTTGTGCTGGTTAGAGCCGACCAGTAGTTCCTGAGATTAGCGCATTCAAACAAAAAAAAAACTCTTCAGCTTTATATATCAGTATAGATTTCGAGGAAATTAGATTTATTTAATGAATAATAATACATGTATACTTTTTTTGCTAAACCGTTTCAGCAGCGCAAGCGCAAAAACGTGAAATCTATGAGGAACATCGTTGGTTCCTCATAGATTTCACGTTTTTCCACATTTTCCAAATTCTAATTCAAATTCAAAACTTTTATTGCCATTTTAAGATTTTTTTACAGTGTTACTTTACTCCTATTAGTTGCATCGTTGTGTTTTATACCCTCAAGCCTTTCTCAATAAATCTTCTAACCAACACACACATTTTTTTTTAATTCGAACAAGTAGCTCCTGAGGTTAGCACGTAGTGAAGTCTAAGTAAGCTCAATCAATACCACACTTATCTTAGCAACACTTCCATCTCCATCCTTGGCTAGGAGATACGTATCATTGGTATCTATCTCCATCTATCGTTTTCGCTTAGCTAACCCTAAAGTGTGGAAAATAACTTCAATGGGGACTTAAGTTAACATAATTTGAATAAGGCTATTTGAGAGCTCGTTGGCATTAATTAAAGGCAAAAAGGAACTAGCTAATAGTGAAAACCGTTGTGCTCTGAAATATATTAAGGTGATCATATTTTCCCAAAAGGTAAAAACGCACTGAAATTTACAACGGGCTACTTGACAATGCGAAAAATATAGCCTCCATTACTGTTATCAGTGTTAAGTATTAGTTAAAACAGTCACATATACTGTCTATAGTTTACGCGAGTAGTACACATTTAAATAAAACACGTTAACGGTTTAAAACGCGGTATATAGTTAAACTTATTTGACTATGACATTCTCCCCGTGACCACGGCTGCTGCAAAGCATCCGAAACGTCGGGCCGAAGTTAAAAATCATTTTCAAATAAGTTTAACTAATATACCGCGTTTTATACCGTTACAGTGTTTTATTTAAACAGTCACATATGTTAAAAATAATAATTGATTTAAAGCAAAATTAACTTTTTCCAACATATGTCACGTGACATATAACGCTCCTGATTGGTCGGGTTTATGATGACGTCACTTGCTTATAAACAGTGCTATAAACCACCGCGGTTGTGTTTAGACAGTTCTATGCCCTGCATTAATAAATAAATTATTAGTATCTCATCTTGACTCTTAAGACACTTTGGATAGGGAAGAGACTAAATGCTATAATAGAATAGAATAAAATATCGTGACGTCACTAGCTGTAGTCTGTGGATTTCCGAATATCCAAAGCCAATATAAGTCGACTATATTTCTCTACCATCAAGTGGACCCCGTGCTTGTTTGTCTACTGTCAAAAAGACTGGACTTTTCGCAGAAATGGCGCCGAATGCGGAAGAAGCAACATCGGTTCTATCTGAAGCCAATTTTGAGAAACTGGTCCCGCCCCAGGCGTCGCCGTGGAAATATGAAATTGTTTATCCGAGTGTGGTGGCGTTACTAGCTGTACACATCATGGCTGCTTACGGTCTCTTTCTAGCTGTTACCACTGCGTGCTGGACTACCATTCTATATAGTAAGTTAAAATAGTTACTGTGCATGTTGCTGTGTTATTTAAATAATGTTACATGTGCGTAATAACACACTGTTAACAATGTGTTATTACGCACATGTGTGAGTAGTACATTAAATAAAACACTTTAACGGTTTAAAACGGGACATATATTAGTTAAACTTGATAATTATTTTAACTACGGCCCGACGTTTCGGATACTTTGCAGCAGCCGTGTTGACAGTGAGACTAGCCGCTCACCCGGGTTAGCTTCCGTCCATCTCTTCAAGCTCCCACCGACATTGCGGCGGTGCAAGCCGAGTTTGACGCCACACTCGGGGCACCCGTGGTCTAGCCACTGCGAGGCCAAACTTCCGGTTAGTATTCGAGGCCCCGAGCCCAATACATTATAAATCAAAAAAAGATAATAAGTTTAACTAATATATACCGCGTTGAAGGCTTAAGTGTTCTATTGTTCTTTATATGACTGTTTATTTAGTTTTCAAAAAAATATATAAAAACATTTGACAGTTTAAACGAGAAATATATTAGTTACCTTACTCTTATATTAAACGGTTTAAAACGCGAAAAATGATACTTAAGTTTTGGGGGCAACCGACGTCACGGGTGCCCCCGTAAAATCGATCTTTAATTGATATAATGTCATCATATGCAATAACGTGTAAAAAATAAAAGTTATAATTATTATTGTTATATGAAACTACTATGCATACTATGCATTTTTTTATGTTGGCACTGTACTAATTTGGATTTATTATCTTTACAGATTATATTTTACTGGAGTTATCTATGCTCGGAACAACAGTTGGTGCTCATCGTCTGTGGTCGCACAAATCATTTAAAGCCAAAATGCCTTTACAGATTATATTAATGCTTATGCAGTCTATGACTGGTCAGTTCACGGTCACTAATTGGGTCAGAGACCATAGAATGCACCATAGGTAATAAATTTTCGCCTTTAATAAAGAGAATGCAAATTTGTTTAAGACTTTGTAGATAGTTGAATTTATTTCAATGACATGTAATTTTATTGCGTCGATGAATGAATTCTTGAAAAGTTCTCAACTTTTTCTTTCCCCGGGTATTCGAACCTCGAACCACTCGCGCTTAACACTTTACTAGGCGACCCATTAATTAATTATTGGCCTTAATGTTGATTTACCATAAGGAAACACTTCAATCAAAAATGTAAACTATATGAATTAAATACTGTCTATAGTTTACGCAAGTAGTACACATTTAAATAAAATACTTTAACGGTTTAAAACGCGATATATTAGTTAAACTTATTGGAAAATGATTCCCCGTGGCCACGGCTGCTGCAAAGCATCTGAAACGTCGGGCCGAAGTTAAAAATCATTTTCAAATAGTTTAACTAATATATCGCGTTTTAAACCGTTAAAGTGTTTTATTTATATATATGAATTAAGTTTACCTTTTAAACCGTTAAATATGGTTAGCTACAGATACAACTTTATATTCCAGATATACAGATACCGATGCAGATCCACACAACCCGACAAGAGGTTTCTTCTTCGCCCACATCGGTTGGCTTCTAGTCAAGAAACATCAAGAAGTGAAGAACCGGGGCAAATTTATCGACATGAGCGACATCTATGCGAATCCGGTTTTAAGGTTTCAGAGAAAGTGAGTAACTTGACTCAATATTTTAAAAATTTGTAGCTGTGCCCACGACTTCGCCCGCGTGGAATACTTATTTTGGCATTATTTTTTTTATTTTCCTTAAAAAACCTTTCCATCAACAAAGTATTATAAAAGCAAAGACAGTGGGAAATGTGGAAAAAACGAGGAAAATTATTTATCTTTGAGGGTTTCCTTTACGTGTGCTACGAAAACGGTTCAAGTTACCAGAAAATGTGAATAAAAGAATTATTGTTTTTTTTTTTAATTCTCATAAAAGTTGGCGACAGAATATGTATTTTTTTAGGATTACCTCACAAGGACCGTTTTATGGTAATGAAATGTCAAAATACTTCGTATGGTAAAAAAAGTTTGCTGACTCTTTTCAGCTACAAAAAAAGGGTTTTTCATATTATCATCTCCCTTTTTGTTATGCTCAACCTTATTTTCGTTGCTAACCAAGATTTCTTCTTTCAGATACGGTCTAGCCATAATTGGTTTCATGACCTTCGTGCTGCCAACCGTGGTGCCCATCTACTTCTGGGGCGAAACCCTCAATGTGGCATGGCACATATGCATGCTGAAATACGCCTTCATCATCAACAAAACGTTAACAGTGAACAGCGTCGGGCATACGTGGGGATACAAAACATACGACAAGAACATACAGCCGACAAACAACACAATTTCTGAAGTTCTTACCCTGGGTGAAGGTTACCACAACTACCACCACGTCTTCCCCTGGGATTACAGATCTGCCGAATTCGGGGACAGCAAGTTCAACTTGTCCAAAAGGTTTATTGACTTCTTCGCAAAGGTTGGATGGGCGTTCGACTTGAAGATGGCACCGAAACATGTTATAGACCGTAGAGTTGAGAGGACTGGTGATGGTAGCGATTTTTGGGGTTACAAGAAAGCAGATCTCTATTGATGTTTATCTGTCTCATATTAACTAGATTATTATTATATTATTTTTTTAATCTCATTGGTGTAATGTATAGCTGGCCAATCGGGTTCGTGGGTTTCGATCCCCGCAGGGTCTAACATGTTTTAAGCATTATTTTTTATTTAAAATGTCTTCAAATCTAAGCTTTAATATACAGACATGGTATAAATGGCATAATACAAAAAAAAATAAAAAAAAGCTTAAATAAAGTTTAATAACAATTAAATTTAATATAAATGTTGATTTAATTAATTGTCCGACTTAGCGGAGTCGACACAACACTAGTGCGACGCGATAACCGCGCGCGTCCCCGCACTAGCTGAGAACTGTCAAATACGAACGTTGGCGCGCATTATGTCGGCTAAGTCGAGTTTTGGCTAATAAATGAATATTTTCAAATGTAACATTGTTTTTCCGCTTTAAAATTGAAAACAAAACAACAGAAGGGATAATAAAAATTAAATATCAAATGTAAGTGCTCTAAAAGAAAATTTAGTAATTGTCGGAGGCCAGAAGTACTGTGATGAAGAATATCGAGGTCTGAAGAGTGATTGCGGTGACGCTGTGGAAGAACAAAAGTGACATTATGAATATTATTGATGCGAAATACCTGTTTGCCTCACACGTGGTGTCATATTGGGTATTTGATAGAAAATATCTCTATCTATTCTATTCACAGATGGTTATTTCTTACACCTTAACATCTTGTGCTTAAAATGTTTAAGCATTTCGTAATTCTCCCCGTGACCACGGCTGCTGCAAAGCATCCGACGTTTCGGATGCTTTGCAGCAGCCGTGAAATCATTTTCAAATAAGTTTAACTAATATATCGCGTTTTAAAGCGTTAAAGTGTTTTATTTAAATGTGGACTGCTCGCGTAAACTACAGACAGTATTTAAGTTTGGTTGATAACTAATTAGACAAGATAATTTGATTACTGTAAAAACGGATCGTGCGAAGTGAAGTTGTGTCGCGGCCTGTTGTAGGCAAAATTCTAATATATAAAAGTGACGAGTATGTTTGTTTGTTTTTAACGCGTTAATTTTAGGTTGGATTTGAAATTTTGTGTCGGTTAGAGCATTAATTGAGGAAAGCTCGAACATCGCGCTACGAACTAACAGAAGCGAAAAAATGCGAAAAAAAAGAAAAAAACGAGAAAAAATATTCAGGAGCTTCCGTTGTCTACGATGGGAAAAATATGTAGGCGAGAAGGATACCTATTTAAATGCGTGGGTAACAGCTATCCTTACTAATATTATAAATGCGAAAGTAACTCTGTCTGTCTGTCTGTCTGTTACTTTTTCACGTCAAACTACTGAACGGATTTGAATGAAATTTGGTATACATATGTTCTAGACCCTAAGGGATTAAAAAGGGGGATGAAAGCTTGTATGGAAATTCATGATTTTTGAAGCTAGAACAAGGAAACTTTCTTCTTTAACTATTTGGAAATGGGAGTGAGAGTGGGAGTATTAGTGTAAATGGGAGTGGAAGTGTTGCGGCAAAGTAGCACTTACAGCACAGATTGGCTGCCTTGAATGTGCCGTTTTCGATGACATGCATTGTAATACCTTTTGGTGTACGAAAAAAAGGTACTTAGGCAAGTACGGTAGGTTTCTACCAAAAGTAACTATTCCACGTGGACGAGGTCGCGGGCACAGCTAGTATTTCTATAATGAACATAACATAAAAAAAGTTTACGTAAGCGGAAATTTTAAACAATTTTTACAGTTTAAAACTCAAATGTTTTAATAAATCAATCAATAATAAATAGCAAATATTATAAATAATACCTCCATAAATTGATACTTTAAGGCATTTTAAAATGTATTTCTAAAAATTACAATTTCAAATAAAGTTGATGTATTCTTTAATTAGAAAAACAAAACAAAATAATGTGAACAAACTTAATTAAATAAAATGTACTTAAATAATAACTTTATTTCATATCTTGATGTAACAATCAAAATCATACAAACAGGCAAGAATAAAATCACATTTGAAAAGACACTTCAATTCGCTTTGATCTCCTATTAACGTCATTGGTTGCATACAGTAACGCGTTACGATGCGTCTAGATAAATAATCTTTCGGATTCTATTGGTCAGTTTATCTCATTCATGATAGACGCAGAACGAGACGAAAAATGAACGATTCAATTTGACATTTAAATTTAATGAACGATCTCGTGTGAGGGAGACAACAACACTACATTTCTATAAGAGTAAAAAAGTGGAGGGAAGCGAACAGTCGTGCGACATAAGTCAGTTGCTCTGTAACTGTTCGTATAGCCAGCCGCCTACGTTTGTAGGACAAAGCATTCAAGCAACAGGTGCGTAAATGTTTTTTTTATGATAGGGGAGGACAGAGGGGGTTCGTTTGATAGGTAAAATGGCCCATATAGCTATATAACATCGAAACAAGACTTACTGTCGACCTATTGTGACTTCAGATATGTAAAAATCCACAGACTGATCCACGCAATTAAACTTGACGGCGTTTTCATCTGTGGACAGTGTTTCGTGATCCGGACGGAATTTCAATATTCCTACCACGCATTTATTATGCAGATTTTCAGACGAGGTCTAACATGTTACTGAAAGACCATTGAATGCTTACAAACATGTTTGACCCTATGGGAATAAACCCACGACCTTTACACCAACAAGCCCGTCAAAAAATAAATGCAGTTAATACAAAGTAGAAAAACATCAATAGAGAAATCAACCAAAGACACTAATCGGCTTTCTTGTGACCCCACAAATCGCTACCATCGCCGGTCCTCTCAACTCTACGGTCTATAACCTCTTTCGGCACCGACTTCAAGTCGTACGCCCATCCGATCTTTGCGAAGAACTCAATAAACGTCTTGGCCAAATTAAACTTGCTGTCCCCGAATTCTGCAGATCTGTAATCCCAAGGGTACACGTGGTGGTAGTTATGGAAACCTTCTCCCAAGGAGACAACTTCAGCGAGTTTATTGTTTGTGGATAGAATGTTCTTGTCGTATGTTTTGTATCCCCACATATGCGCGATGCTGTTGACTGTGAACGTTTTGTTGAGGATTAAAGCGTATTTCAGCATGCATATATGCCATGCCACGTTGAGGCTTTCGCCCCAGAAGTAGATGGGTACCACTGTTGGCAGGACGAAGGCCATGAAACCAATTATGAAAAAACCGTATCTGGAAGAAGAAGTATCTTTCAGTAACAAATCAGACCCTGGGAGAGATTAAAAAGAAATAAAAGGAATTTGTTTCGATTCTCCTTTCGACTTATAAAACTTGACATTGAATAAATATTAATCTACATCACGTTTTAAACCGTTAAACATCGTACTCACTTCTTCTGAAAGCTTAAAACCGGATTCGCATAGATGTCGCTCATGTCAATAAATTTGCCCCGGTTCTTCACTTCTTCGTGTTTCTTGACTAGAAGCCAGCCGATGTGGGAGAAGAAGAACCCTCGCGCCGCGTTGTGTGGATCTCCATCGGTGTCTGTATATCTGGAATAGTTTTATCTGTAGTTTACAAGCGGTATACATAAAATAGATTTTTTATTATTTAATCTTTATCTAAGACTTAAGCTCTTAAGGGGCTAACTTGATGGTAGGTGATGTACATCTACCACCAAGTAAGACCAGCCATGTAACATCTAAGCAAGATGCGATGTCTACGTAATTTGGCTTTGGATATTCGGAAATCCAAACTGTGGTGGATTGGTTTCTTAAGGGCGAAAATTAATTACCTGTGATGCATTCTATGGTCTCTAACCCAATTGGTAATCGTGAACTGGCAAGTCATAGAATGCATAAGCATTAATATAATCTGTAGGGGCATTTTCGCTTTGAAAGCTTTGTGCGACCACAGACGATGGGCACCAGCTGTCACTCCAACCATTGACAACTCCAGTAACACATAATCTGTAACGATAGAACAAAACTAATGTACCAACATAACAGCGTTATTAGATAAAGTGCCAACATTATAAAGTCCAAAACAGATGTTTTATAAGTTTTTGATTGCGTATCTTGGCCACACATTTTCCACTGATTTCTCGCTCCTATTGGTCGAATTTAATAGTCTAAAGCCTTCTTCGATACATACTATCCACCACAACAAAAAGTTTTTAATTCCAACCAGTAGTTACTAAGATTTGTTTAAACAAAAAACTCTTCAGCTTTATATATTAGTATAGATTAAACTCACTAAATACAAGGGTAGTCCAGCTCGCTCTAGTAACAGCTAGATATAGACCATACAAAGCCGCGATGTGAACAGCTAGCAGTGTCGCCACACTCGGATAAAAGATTTCAGGTCTCCGGGGCGACGCTTGTGGCGGCACCAACTTGTTTAGATGGGCTTCAGATTCAAGTGATGTCACTTCAGTGACGTTTGGCGCCATTTCTGTGAAAAAAAAATCAAATTAACTCATTTCGATGTATACAATATATACAGATGTTAAATAAGTACTTAAAAAGATAGGAAAAATCTAGGGCTACAACGAGATAAGAATTTGATTCGAGTCATTCACGGGTTTAACTGAATATTTCTTTGTTTTAATCTATACTAACATAGAAACCTGAAGAGTTTGTTTGTTTGTAACACAAAAAAACGCGCTAATCTCAGAAACTACTGGTTCGATTTAAAACATATTTTTGTGTTACTTAAAGAGTCGAGTCGTATCGAGCAAGTCTTTACGCAATATGCGATCAATAGACGCAAAAAACAGCGGAAAATGTGGAAAAAACGAAGAAAATTTTTCATCTTTGTGAGTTTCCGATGCGTACGCTGCAAAAACGGTTTGAGATACGTAAAATATGTATAAAGGGATGATTGCTCTTAAAATGATCTAAAAATATGTCCGCAATACTATATAGCTATCTTTGCAAGAACAACACGAACAGCTTAAACTTATAAAAATGAGGATAAATTATGTAAGGCTTTCACGGCCATCGTTCAGCATATCGGCGGTCCGGCTGTTCGGCCGACGCAAGCGAGAAGAGGTTCTCGACCTTTCGCCATGTTAACTCCTACGATGTTACTCCTGGAGCTCACGTCGGCCGAACAGCCCGAAAGACATGATAAAAATGAAGATGTTTGCAAAAACAAATTTTCATGCCCAAAATATTCTACGCGGACGTAGACGCTGCGAGTAATAAATAAAGACACAATTTGATAAGATTTCTGTATAGTCATCGCGGTTCTTAGGATCTACAGACGGAGAGATAACGAGCTCACAATTATATAATTCAGTCCGTTTCTACCTTTTGGGGTCGCTGATAACCCCTAAAACAAATCAAAGATTTCACCTACCTTCAAAGGTTTATTAGAGCACAACTAATTCCAATATTAGATAGTTCTTATCTGTCCGTAGTAATTTGACAAGCCTCTTAAATAGCCTAATTCAAATCATGTTTACTTTAGCATTAGCGTCTATTGAAGTAATTTTTCACATTTTAGGGTTGGGTAAGTCGAATCGTAGTTTTAGAGACATATTCCTGTTGATGGCCTGGCCATCGATGGAGACGGAGGTGTAGCGAGCATGAAGTTGAGGCTAAAAGAGTGCTAAGGCTTCACTCAGAATTGCCCACGACCCAAGATTCAAATTTATATAATAGTTTCTTATAATTCAGCCTGAATTATAAGGCTCAAGAGTTTGTTTGTTTGAAAGCGCTAATGTCAGGTTTTACAGGTTCGAATTGAAAAAAAAAAATGTGTTGATTACAGTATATATCGAGAAATATATAGGATATAAAACAGAACGATGGGACTTATAGGCGCGAAGAAACAGCGGGATATGTTAAAAACATGGAGGGCCATCATTCATCTTTGAAGGTTTCCGACGCGCGCGCTACGACAACGATTCACGATTCCTTAAATAAATGTGTATGAAGGAATAATTCTTTGTATAATCTAACAGAGTAGCAACAGTATATGTCTATCTATTTAGTTTAACTTGTAAGAACGACAGAACAAAGAAGAAGAAGATGCGATTTATATAGATAAGGTTTGGAAGAACTATTTTTATGCGCAAAATAACTATTCAACACGGACGAATTCGATGGCACGGCTAGTATTTATTTATTTATAACCGCTTTCATATTTATAATACATACCACAAAAACAACAAAAGATAAAAACATAAGTACTAACTTATAAATAAAAGGCGGCTTTATCGCTAAGCAGTGATCCCTTCCAGCCGACCTGGATTCAGGAGAAAAGCTCATTAAGTGGCTAATGTAAGGAATAATAAAAAAGCAAAAGTATACACAGCAAGTGAGAGAGAAACTAATTTAAGAGTTGGAAAGATATTGTTTTCAAAGCGTAGTCTTAAAAAGAACAGAGACATTGAGCTTTTCTGATCTAGTATATAGATAGTACTATGTATGGCAAAAGAACGTATACCAGGTCAGCTAGTATCTAATAAATAAAACACTTTTAACGGTTAAAAACTTATTAACTTATATTTACACATTCACTAACATAATAAACTAATTTTTGCATTGTGAACAACCCTCCTTTATTTTTGTCTTCATCTATTTTATCTAAAAAGGTGACGTGCGTTTTTATAGCTTCTGTATATGCTAATATTATAAAGCTGAAGAGTTTGTTTCTTTAAATAATGAGTCTACTTCAAAATATGTAAAAATGTCCGCGATATATATATAATATATATGTTCATATTTTGAGATATTTGCAAGAACGACAGGGCGAGGTCGACGTCGTGGGTAATAATTTATAAAGATATGGAGATGGTTTGCAAATATAAATTTTGGCGCCCATAATAACTATTCTACGCGAACAAAGTCGCTGACAAAGCCAGTATTATATGCTTCGCCGTCACTGGGTCCCTCGTGCGCTAATCAAACTCGCACTTGACCATTATTTGTCTAATTCGCTATTTATAGTACGTAATGCAAATAAAAATAATTATTTATTCTACATTTCGTCGGACGACGTCAAAACAACAAACAAACAAGTGAATTTCCACGTTAATTTAAAATTTGTTTATGTGGGTAATCTATTAATGTTAAGTTTCGTTTTATTAATATTATAAAGTAAGTATTTCTCTATTGTGGCACAGACTGTAACCGCGATTAAATTTGACGTATTAAATCTATGGACGATGGTTCGTCACTAGGACGGAATTTCGATAATTCTACAAAGATTAGATTACCAGACGAACTCCAACATGTTGGACTCAGTGGGGATCCAACCCAGGACCCGTTGATTTGCCATAAATTTGTAAAATTACACCAGCCCGGCAAAAAATAAATCTAGTTAATAGAAAGACAAACATCAATAAACAAATCAACTAAAGACATCAATCGGCTTTCTTGTGACCCCACAAATCGCTACCATCACCGGTCCTCTCAACTCTACGGTCTATAACCTCTTTCGGCACCGTTTTCAAGTCGTACGCCCATCCGATCTTTGCGAAGAACTCAATAAACGTCTTGGCCAAATTAAACTTGCTGTCCCCGAATTCTGCAGATCTGTAATCCCAAGGGTACACGTGGTGGTAGTTATGGAAACCTTCTCCCAAGGAGACAATTTCAGTGAATTTATTGTTTGTAGATAGAATGTTCTTGTCGTATGTTTTGTATCCCCACATATGGGCGATGCTGTTGACTGTGAACGTTTTGTTGAGGATTAAAGCGTATTTCAGCATGCATATATGCCATGCCACGTTGAGGCTTTCGCCCCAGAAGTAGATGGGTACCACTGTTGGCAGGACGAAGGCCATGAAACCAATTATGAAAAAACCGTATCTGGAAGAAGAAATATCTTTCAGTAACAAATCAGACCCTGGGAGAGATTAAAAAGAAATAAAAGGAATTTGTTTCGATTCTCCTTTCGACTTATAAAACTTGACATTGAATAAATATTAATCTACATCACGTTTTAAACCGTTAAACATCGTACTCACTTCTTCTGAAAGCTTAAAACCGGATTCGCATAGATGTCGCTCATGTCAATAAATTTGCCGCGGTTCTTCACTTCTTCGTGTTTCTTGACTAGAAGCCAGCCGATGTGGGAGAAGAAGAACCCTCGCGCCGCGTTGTGTGGATCTCCATCGGTGTCTGTATATCTAGATTGCGGTACACATAATATAACATGATTTTCGAACATGAAATGCTTATTTCCATTATTTAATATTTATCTAAGACTAAAGCTTTCATGGGACTTCCTTGCTGGTAAGGGAAATATACCAGCCATATATCATCAGAGAAGGACGCGCTATCCACCTATTTTGCCTTGGGATATTCGGAAATCAAGAGAAGTATATAAGAGAGAAGTGTGGCTATGGTGGATTCTTAAAGGCGAACATTAATTACCTGTGATGCATTCTGTGGTCTCTGACCCAATTAGTAACCGTGAACTGACCAGTCATAGACTGCATAAGCATTAATATAATCTGTAGGGGCATTTTCGCTTTAAAAGCTTTGTGTGACCACAGACGATGGGCACCAGCTGTCATTCCAATCAGCGACAACTCCAGTAACACATAATCTGAAACAATAGAACAAAATCAATGTACCAACATAACAGAGTTGAAATAAAACACTTTGAAGGTTTAAAACGCGTTTTAAACCGTTAAAGTGTTTTATTTAAATGTGTACTACTCGCGTAAATTATAGACGGTATTTAATAACAGAGTTCTTCAAAAAAGTGCCAACATTGCAAAGTCTTTACTACAAGTGTTAATTATTGCGTATCTTGGCCACACATTTTCTACTGATTTCTCGCTCCTATTGGTCGCAGCCAAATTTTAAAGCCTTATTTGAAATATGGTCTATCCATTACAGCGAGAATTTTTCAAACAGATTTTCAGTTTTATAATATTAGTATAGATTAAACTCACTAAATACAAGGGTAGTCCAGCTCGCTCTAGTAACAGCTAGATATAGACCATACAAAGCCGCGATGTGAACAGCTAGCAGTGTCGCCACACTCGCATACACAATGTCTGGTTTCCTTGGCGACGCCTGTGGCGGCACTAGCTTCTTCAGGCGGGCTTCAGAACCAAGTGACGTCACTTCAGTGACGTTTGGCGCCATTTCTGTAAAAAACATTTATGTATTCAGATTTTCAATTCAGATTTTGTATGTATACAATATGCACAGATGTCAAATAAGTTTTCAAGGTATATATAATAAGTTTTCAATCTGTGGCTGGCATGAGGTTCGAGTCGTTCACTGGTTTAATTGAATATTTTTAATGATCTATCATTCTCCTCTAGGAGGACAGTAAGCATTGTGTTCTCTTGAAGGGTGAAACGATCCATATAACGTCTAAACTAGATTGCCTTCGGATATTCTTTCAATACTTGTTTAAAACCTTCCAATTTCAAATTTCGAAAGAGTTAACGGTGCCTTTAAATGTCACGTGCGCCCTTCTTGCACTTTTTAATAAATATCCTCTCAAAATTATTTTTTGGCCCGTTAGTCTTATAAAACAGTCATTAGACCAATCCTTCTATACGGCTGCGAAACATGGACGCTAACACTCAAAGATGAGGATAAGTTTTTAGTGGAAGAACGCAAAATACTGCGGAAGATTCTGGGACCGACACAGAGGGAAGACGGTAGCTGGCGGCCGCGAAAGAACGAGGAGCTCGAAAAGCTGTTTGCCGCCCCTGACATCATGGGAGAAGCTCGAGCTCAAAGACTCCGCTGGACCGGCCACGTCGAAAGAATGGAAGAGCACCGACGCGTCAAGAAGGCGTATCTCGGAATCCCGAACGGCCGCCGACCCGTTGGCCGGCCTAAATACCGCTGGAAAGACGCTGTTGAGCTTGACCTGGTGGAACTCTGTGTCTCCGAGTGGCGAACCGGAACGCAGGATCGGCGGAAGTGGCGTTCTCTTGTTGTAAAGGCCAAGACCCACTTTGGGTCGCTGCGCCAGCGGAGTAAGTAAGTAAGTTAGTCTAATGGTAACAATGTATGGCTTAATTGCGCTTCGGTTTTAGTCTGTGGATTACCGATTAAGCAAAGCCAAAATAGGTCGACAACATATCTTGCTTAGCTGCTATAGGCTGGGGTATATCACCTACCATCAAGTGAATCACATGCCTGTATATCCTCCATATGCCAATACTTCCATCTGCCGATACTTCCATCTGCCAATACTTCCATCTGCCGATACTTCCATCTGCCGATACTTCCATCTGCCGATACTTCCATCTGCCGTTATATAAAGCCGGCTTTTTCACTTTGATAATTATAATTATAATTGAGTATAACAAATACGTAATTAATTAACTTATTTATTTAATTAAGTTAATTATTATATACAAATTTAAAATGTTTTTTCAAATATGGCCTTATCGCCTATGGAGATTACTTACAACCTTTGCATGTAGAAGGAAAATAAACAAAATTAAAGTCATAGAGTGACGTCAATAAAGAAAGGCAGATAAGCACGGTTCGCTCGATGGTAGATGAAATGTCTTCGGATTGCTATCTGTGGACGGAGGTTTGTGATTTGGAATAAATTGTTAAATGAATTTCTAACACCAAATATCCATTCGTTTTTGCAAACTCCTTTATCTTTATGAACTTAGCTGTTCCTCACGATGTCGGACGCGGCCTTTTCCGTCGTTCATGCGAGTTAAAAGATAGACATATAGAGTCGTGTACTTTTTTTCATAATTTAAAGTTTTAAAATATGTAGCATTTTAGTTTGAGTATCTAAAACCGTTTTTGTAGAGTGCGCTACGGAAGCCCATAATGATGAAAAATGTTTCCATTTTTTTGCTGTATTTCTCCCTCGATAAATGTTTAAACACACAAATTTACAATTTTAACGTACGTCGTTCCTGAGTCTGTTCAAACAAACAAACAAACTCTTCAGCTTTATATGTTAGTGTTATGTTGGTTAGAGTATTTATCGAGGAAGGCTATTATAGGCTATAAAATATTGCCCTGTGACTAATACATGCGAAAATACAGCGGGAAATGTGAAAAATTTTGGCAAAATTATTCATCGTTATGGTTTCCCGAAGCGTACGCTGCAAAAACGATTCGAGATACCCAAAAAATATGTATGAGAGAATGATTCCTTTTAAATAAAACACTTTAACGGTTTAAAACGCGACATATTAGTTAAACTGATTTGAAAATTATTTTTAACTTCGGCCCGACGTTTCGGATGTTTTGCAGCAGTGACCACGGCTGCTGCAAAGCATCCGACTGCGTTTTAAACCGTTAAAGTGTTTTATTTAAATGTGTACTATTCGCGTAAACTATAGACAATATGATTCCTCTTTAAATGATCTAAAAAAATCCGCGACGCTATATGTCTGTCTATCTTTAGTGATTAACTTGCAAGAACGACGGGAAGGGACGCGACAGACATTGTGGGTAATAGCTTAAGTTTGTAAAGATGAGGAAAAAGTTCGCAAAAACAAATTTTGATGCCCAAAATAACTATTCAATGCAGACGAAGTCACTGACACAGCTAGTGATAAATAAATTAACTGGTATTATCATTTCTACGAAATTTCTTGGTTGGTACTTACTTGTAATGAAAAAGCACAACAAATTTCAGTATTAGACACTTACTACGACCACATTAACTCAGTTCGCTTATATATAATATATTTTGTCGGATGAAAAAATGCACGAGGTAAAAATTTGTTTTTCATCACTAGGGTTGGTTAAATGAAAATTACTGGAAAATAAAAATAAATGATTATTTTAATTACATTTACTTTATTACTCAATAAAGATTGTGCGAGCATATTATAAAGATGAAGAGTTGTTTGTTTTTTGTTTGAACTACTGAATCGAACTATCGTATAATATTTTCGTATTGTAACAATTATATTCGAAGAGAATAAAAAAAATATATGAATAGAAAAGAAAGAATGACATCTCTTTAAATTAACGAAAACAATGTCCACAAAATGATAGTCTATGTTTTAAGATTAACTTGCAAGAACGACGAGACGCGAACGACGTTGTAAGTAATAGCTATCTATATATAAAACTAAAGAGTTTGTTTGTTTGAACGCGCTTATCTCAGAAACTACAGGTTCGAATTGAAAAATTCTTTTTATGGGCAAAATTATTCGTCATTATGGGTTTCCGCGACGTACGCTGCGAATATGGTACAAGATACCAAAATATATGTATGAAAGAGTGATTGCCCTTTAAATGATGTAAAAAAAGTCCGCGACGCTATATGTCTATCTTTTAAAATAAACTTGCAAGAACGACGGGAAGGGACGCGACCGACATCGTGGGTAACAGTTTGAGTTTATAAAGATGAAGGGGTTTGCAAAAACGAACTTGGATGCCCATAATGACGATTCCCACGGACGAAGTCGCTGACGCAGCTTGTGATTTATAAAAATGAGGTGGTTTGCAAAACCAAATTAAGAAAGCCAAAATAACTATACGCGGACGAAGTCGCTGACATAGATACTACTTCATATGGGATCAGGATATCTTTAAAATTATGTTCAAATTTGATAATTTATTATTTAATTGGTACTAAAACAGTTTTAATATAAGGATGTATATTATGATAAGAATTAATACCAAGGTATAATAAGAGTTTTTGCAACGGTGGCATTTGAAATATTTTTTTTACAATGAAGGAAGTGTATCTACATTATTTTAATAGTATTTGCGCACGAGTTACATTATTGGAATTATATTATGATTCTCAACTTTTTCTTTTAATATAGCTTTTTTTACCTAAAATACTATCTATATATTAGTAAAATAATTCCTTATTACTATTCATTTCAAACATATAATCAAATATTTCATCTTTGTAACATTAGTATAGATAAAACGATGTAAAATGGATTGAATTTAACAGAAAACAAGCCCAATTTGTCTCACTAGACTTCCTTTCACCTCGTATATATATTAATATAATAATAAATAATAATATTTATTGCAAAAACATACATACAAAATACAGCGGCGTTCGCTCCGATCGTGGGGTCGATCGTGGGGTCGATCGTCTGGAAATGTTGGAAATGGGTGGGCAATATCGTAATGGCGTTCGGGCCACGAACCACTATCCACGGATGAAAAAAGTCGTCAATCTCGTTGCAGTCTGTGGAATTTCCGAATATCCAAAGCCAAAATAGGTCGACTGCGTGTCTTGTTAGAATGTCATATTGCTGGAGTATTTCCAAGTGGATGAAGTGAACTATCTAAATAAAGACGGTTACACCTTTAAACTATATAAGAACAACAATTTTCTTACCTCATTTGTAAAAACATCCAAAATTTACTTTTAACCAAGGCTAAGTTTTACAGCAGTCTTGGTCATGGGGGACTTATGTAAGTGTAGAAATAGAATAAACCGATCCTTACTAATATTATAAATGCGAAAGTAACTTTGTCTGTCTGTCTGTTACTCTTTCACGCCAAAACTACTGAACGGATTTGAATTGAATTTGGTACACAGATGGTCTAAACCCTGAAAAAAGACATAGGCTAATTTTTATTCGGAAAAGGAATTGTAAGTGGTTAAAAGGGGGGTAAAAGTTTGTATGGAAATTCGTGGTTTTTGAAGCTAGAACAATGAAACTTTCTTCTTTGGCTTTTTGGGAATAGGAGTGGGAGTGGGAATGAGAGTGAGAATTAAAGTAGGAGTGATGTGAGAGTGTTGCGGCAAAGTAACACTTACGACATAGATTGGCTGTTTTAAATGCGCAATTACATAAATTATTCAACCGCCTAAATAATTCAAAATTCTACTCCAAGTCACTCTTCCACGCGAACGAAGTCGCGGGCACAGTTAGTTACATATATAGTAAAATCTAATCTATAAATAAGTCTCCTGGTGAGCATATTTCATTCGGAACATTCGTTATTTGCGTCAAACACGGTCATGACTTTAAGAAATTTTAACTGCTGTCGTTTTTTTTCGAATTTGATTTAGTCACGTGACTGCGCATACGCCGTAGATCAACGTACGCGGCTAAAAATAAACATAAAACCTAATTATAATGAATTATTTTTATTTCTTTGACTCGTTTTTGCCCCTGATATTGTCTGTGGAGAAGCGAAATTTTCATATTAAGTACTTCTAGTGTGAAATAAATATTTGAAAAATATGTAAATAAAACTAAACACTGTTTGTAGTTTACGCGAGAACCATTACTACTAATAAATATACTAGTTGGCTACTCTCCTTGACCGTGACTGCTGCAAAGCGTTCAAAATGTCGGACTGTAGTTAGAGTATTTTGCGTTTTAAACCGTTAAAAGTGGTTTATTTAAATATTATATCCGCTCCTAGTCTTCACCTCCACCTAACCAACCTATGTGTCGTAACTTTTCCCAATCTAAATAGACATTTAATAATCATTTTGATGTTTCAACATCTAATAATTATGATGTGCTGTTAGCCTATTTAGGATAAGCACATGCGGAAATCCAGAGAGAAGGCAGATAATGTTTTTAAAATGTATACTAATATTTGAAAAGCTGAAGAGTTTGTTAGTTTGAAAGTGCTAATGTCAGGAACGGTTTGAGTTGAAAAAGGAAAGGCAGGCTTTAGACTATAATACATCACGTTGCAACCAATAGAAGCGAAGGATCAAAAGGAAATGTGGAAGAAAAGGGGGGAAATTATTGAGGACTTTAGTTACGTGCGCTGCAAAAATGGTTATAAATACTTACTAATAAAATATATATGATAAAGAGACAATATGATGTCCAAAGTTAATATTGCACGCGGATCGAGTCGCGGGCGCAGCTAGAAGATAATACAATTGACGTTTCCTCCAAATTCTATGACTTTAAGAGGCAAACTTCAAAAGATCTTAAATCACTTTGTCTGTTTATTATTATGAATTAATTAAATAATAATATTATGAAATTTAATTATACAATCAACGTAATCTTCCATATATTTTATTTCTCATAGCAATATTGTGCATATCATTAATTTTATTTTATGCACTAACTGTGACAAAGACTTCGCGTAGGACAGTTATTTTGGGCACCAAAATTAGTTTTTGCTAACTTCCCCATCTTTATTAGCTTAAGTTGTTACCCATGAAGTCGGTCATTTTTTTTAGATAATTTAAAGAGGAATCATCTTTTCATCTTCTATTATCTTCTTAAAAAGATAATAATTGTCCAGTATTTTTCATATTTCCCACTGTTTCTTCGATTCTATTAGTCTAATCGCGATGTTTTCTCACCTAAAGCCTTCTTGATAAATGCTCTACCTAACACAGAAAGAATTTTTCAATTTGAACCAGTCGTTCCTGAGACTAGCGCGTTCAGACAAACTCCTCAGCTTTATATATTAGTATAGGTAATTTAACAATAATTGAAACGTTACCAATCTAAATACTGCCTATAGTTTACGCGAGTAGTACACATTTAAATAAAACACTTTAACGGTTTAAAACGCGATATATTAGTTAAACTTATTTAAAAATGATTTTTAATAAGTTTAACTAATATATCGCGTTAAAGTGTTTTATTTAAACTTTACCAATCTAATTATAATAAGGTAGGCAATAAAAAAATAATTTTATTAGTATTTTTATTTTACATTGACTAGATCACATTAGCCTTTAACAAACATCTTAGAAGTATGCTTTGTCTTTGTTACGCACGTATCTTTAACAATATGAGTGAAGAGGACAAAGTATAGCGTTGTCGACTACCCACATTTTTACGCCAATTCTGGCAACTAAATGCATACATACTTTGAAGATGTTTATTAATTTTAAGGCGATATATACACAGGTGCAATTTAATTACATACCTACTAGACTCTAACATTTTTACAAGAGTATTATATACGCTAGAGCAAGAGCGGCCTAATAAAAAAAACATGATTTTCAATAAGGAGCAAAATAAAAGTGCGCAATTAACTTGGGCGAAAATGAATTTGTACTATTATTTGTGTAAGAATTATGTTAACAATTTTCGATCACTGTGCTCTTGTAGATTAACATTTTAGACTACAAAAATATAGCGCAAGCCATAAATTTGCAGTTAAGCTACTCTGGCTTTAGCGGCCTCATATATATTATAGATCTATACAAGGCAGTCGAAATTAAATTTAAACGGGTCGAAATTATGTACGTTGCGCAGGAGTATGTATCATTATAGTGTAAAAGAAGGACGTGGTAAATTATAATCTGTCAAAATAAAGTGGGATTTAATTCGAACGTTATAGGCAGTGTTCTCATAGGTTCGAATCCCGCCTGTACACATTTTTTAAACTCTTTTCCAATACATACTCTATAAATAAACACTACACATTCAAAAGACAATCTATTTAGGCTTCACACATAGGGGGGAGGAAAGGGGGATCGAGGAAATGTGATATGATGTGAAAAGCCGAGTTGAAACAATTTTTTCCCCTTGGGGCATGGGGCGGACAAAATTCTGTACCCGTTTCTATGATCGATTTAATTATGTAAGTGACTTATATGCCCAACTAATGCTATTTATGTTTCCCCAGGACTCGAACCCAGGACATCTGGTGTTCGTGACGTCACATTATGCTTTTATATAATTCACTTGATAGAAGGTGAATTACAACGCCCATATAACATCTCAACAAGATTTTTCATTGGGTTCGTGACCCGGATTAAATTTCCATATTCCTACCACCCTCTCAAACTTGTTTAAAAATAAATATGTTTGACCCGGTGAAGATCGAACCCGCGGCCCGTTGATACATTGTTATCATTACGCCAACGACCCCAGCGTAATTATATGGCTTTCAATGTTAACGGTAAGAAAAAACCCACACGTGAATCACGATTATCTTTCCAATGTGGAAAATTCCGTTTAATATTGTTGTAAATTGTGTAAGGCTTTCACGGCCATCGTTCAGCATATCGTTGTCTTTCGGGCTGTTCGGCCGATGCGAGCGAGAAGAGAGTTCTCTCAAGAGGTCGAGAACCTCTTCTCGCTCACATCGGCCGAACAGCCCGAAGGACTATACTATATAGTTTTGTTTTGGTTTATAAACGTGATTTATACCGATTTTTTTTCGCAAACACACTCACAAAAACGTGATGAATGTCGTATCGTGTGATGATTTTCGATTGAAAATTATTCATTTGTTTTTATAATTATTTTAATTTTAAATACGCGCAAACACTTGTGTTCTGCGCAGGAGTTTTGACTAGATGCGCGGCGCGGTGTTACTTATGTAACACGTTAAGATAAATATTATTTTTTGTGGTTGTACATAACGGTTTCGTATAAGTAAAAGATCTATTTGAGATTTTAAATAAACACTTTAAACGGTTTTATACTCGAAATATAAATATAATTAGAGAACTTATTAATTTATATAATAAGTTAACTAAAATATCTAGGATTACAAATCCTCTTTTAATGGGTTTTAACGCGAAATAATTCTTTACTTATTTTTTATTACATATAAGTTAAATTATATATTTCGCGTTTTAAACCTGCCCCGAAACTGTTGAAAAAGCTTTGTGCTATCTACCAAATCACTGAAAAAAAGGGGCTGCCCCCTTTTAAGCCCCAGATATACGTTATATCGTTTACAAACAGGGATTCAAATCGCCAGTCATATTGACGTGCGAGCACGTGACCTTCTGCCCCGATGGAACAGCAACGCGGAACAGTTTCCCCTGGGGCATACAAACGCACACTTTGAACTGCCCCACACCGCCCGTGCGCGTAAGTGGCGCCGCTATAGGAAGGTACCTAGAAGAACACATCTAGATTAAATACACACAAGAAATAAATTAACAGTTTAAAACGCGATGTATATTAATCCAACTTATTTACAGATTATTTGTTCGGGATTTGGTTTGTTCGGGATGCTATGCAGCACCCGTGGTCACGGCTCACACAATTACAAATAAGTTTAACTAATATATGTCATGTTTCAAACCGTAAAATTAAAGTGGTTTATATAAATATTTTTAATCTATTTTATTGCTCTGTACTTTGTTGACCTAGAACCTCCCCCCCACCCCTAACCTCGACTTTAAGAGAAATGTCCATTTCAGGCCACAGATGGACAACAATAACTTTTATTTAAAGTCTATATTCTTGATTAAAAATTGCGACAATGGGCGGGACTCGAAGTCACATCGTCAGCGTTCCTTGCTGCTCTAGAAATTGAGCTACCGGTGATTATCTTTTTTCATAATTCACCAACGTCCATTGTCTAATAATGATTAGTTACTAAAATCATATATTATTTTAAAAAATGTTGTTTTTAAATATGGCCCGAAAATTAATGAAAATCAGAAAAGGCACGGACACAAATCTATGGAGGTAGTTCTTAAAAAAACACCCCATTTAATTCAATTACCTGACGTCAATAAAGACACCCTCTTTCCCACTCAAAACAATCGACCCGTTGATCGATTTGAGGTATATATCCTGGTCAGCCGACCAGTGCAAGGTCTTGGACTCCATGTGGGTACCTTCCGCGCCCTGGAGGTGGACCGAGGTGTCAGAGCGGAGTAGGAGGTCTTCGTCCACGGGCGAGGAGATGCGCTTCGTTGATACTTGCTGAAATATGAGATTTTTATTGTTTGCACTAGCAATTTGTCATCAAGTGAAACGGCGTGGGGGACTTTCGAGACGGACACAAAAATGTTTCTGACATTTATGTGTAAGTTTAAGTAATGTGGTTCACTTGATTAAGAGCGAAGTACAGCCGGATAAATTCTTAACTGGGTGCGCTGTCGCTTGGTCTTACGTAAAGTGAACATCCATTTAGATGTTAGCTCCAGGTTTTAAACCAAGGGCCTTGAGCATAGTGGTCAACCATTGGACAGTTGGTTTATGTACCTACTTACCTAAATCAATAAATTAACTTTTCTCAAACACGCTTGGAAATTTGAGCATTATTTAGACGACCTTCGAGATAAATCGATCTTGCTGTACTGGTCGAGCAGCGGCCGGCGATAGTTTTATGAAAATCCATATCTGTCAACCTTAGCAGCAGCAGCAATAATAAATTTAAAAATGGAACAATCTACTCCGCAACATGGCGACCAAAGAGGTAACTTGTAAAAGGTTGCATTTTGCGCGTAAGAAAGTATCGTTAATAGTTGTTCGTCAACTTGGTCTATTCGAACTTCGAATTGTACTACTTAGTTTTAATTTCCGCGCGTTATTTGAGAAAAGTACGATATGAGCCTGGGCCGCAACTATTGATGGCTATACGTATGTGCTCAAACATTGCCTCTATTTATCATTGTAAATCTCCATCTTCAAGGTTGCCTGGAAGAAATCGCTTTATTAGCGATAAGGCCGACTTTCCTCGCTACATTTTATGATTTATCTTCAAATTAAACCTTGTTTTGTAACATTGTGCTGAGTCTTCGACTTCGTCCACGAGAGTCGTTATTTTGGTTCTTGCAAGTTAATCTTAAAAGATAGACATATAGCGTCGTGGACTTTTTTTTAGATCATTTAAAGAGAAATCATTCTTTCGTACATATTGTTTGTGTATATTAAACCGTTTCTGCAGCGTACGCTTCGGAAACCCATAATGATGAATCATTTTTCCATTTCTTTTCCACATTTCTCGCTATATCTTCGCTTGTATTAGTCACAGGGCGATGCTTTATAGCCTATAGCCTTCCTCGATAAATGCCAATGCCATACCATCACAAATAGAATTTTTCATTTGGAACCTGTAGTGTCTGTGATTGACGCGTTCAAACATACAAACAAGCTCTTCAGCTTATTAGTGTAGAGTGTAGATTGTCATGTCTCACCTTAGCCACTAAATTATTGACAGCCTCACTCAGAGTAAGTTCAGCGCTGCTAGTACTGAACACTGTTTCACCAGTCTCCGGTTCGGTAAGTTCGAACGAGTTAACACCCCTTACAAAGACACCAGACGCATTCACCGTAAGACGTGTGTCTGAACGAGAGAGTCTGTAAGTAGATTGAAAAAAGCTGTCTGTAGTCTACGCTAAAGAAATAAAATTAGTTTAACAACTAAACCACCAGTTGGTAGTGCACGTTGGGATGTTTAGGGGATAATTATGGACGAATTACTTAAAAAAAACACTATGAAGACTAAATACTGTCTATAGTTTACGCGAGTAGTACACATTTAAATAAAACACTTTAACGGTTTAAAACGCGATATATTAGTTAAACTTATTTGAAAATGATTTTTAACTTCGGCCCGACGTTTCGGATGCTTTGCAGCAGCCGTGGTCACGGGGAGACTCCCCGTGACCACGGCTGCTAAATAAGTTTAACTAATATATCGCGTTTTAAACCGTTAAAGTGTTTTATTTAAATAACTATGAAGACTGCTAGAGGCAGAGTGGGCTAATAACAAAAAACATGATTTCAAAAAAACACTAACGGTTTTAAACACGATACATATTAGTTAAAAATAAATTTCAAAAAGTTTAAATATCGTTAAAGTGTTTTATTTAAATGTGTACTATTCGCGTAAACTACAGACGGTATTTAAAAACATGATTTTCAATAAGGAGGAAATAAAAATGCGTTATCAACTTAGGTGAAAATTAATTTGTACTAATATATGTGAATGTCAACAGTTTTCGGTTGCTGTGCTCTTGTAGATTAACATTTTAGACTATGAAAATAATCATACAATTGCAGTTAGGCTACTCTGTCTTAATTATGATAGCCGATATTTGAATCTTATAATTCATGTTACATATAATATTCAAATTTAATTTTAAATTAAATACATTTTTTATGGACCCGACGTTTTGGGCGTTTTTCGGCAGCTGTGGTCATGGGAGTCATAGTTGTAATACTACTAAATAAAAATATTTAACTGAAAATAAAACTGACTGAATACTGACTGAAATACAACCTGTACATTTATTATTATAGAAAATTATGATTCTATATTATTTGTAAAGACCATTGTGTGCTTGGGCAATATAAAATGTTCTATAGCTAATAGTTTTTTTTTTTTAATTGCCATAAAACATTACATATAATATGTCGCTGCGTTAAGCTGAACTAGTGATAACCTAAAGAGATATTATTTATTAGATAAGAGAGTATATAAGTTGAATACAGCTAGAGCGCCGACAGCAAAAGTAATACTCAAATGACTATTATTTTTCAATTTTAATGCATTGTTATCAATTCTTTATTGCTTTTAATTACCTATAATTCTGGCAGACTAGCATCAGTTCATGATTTGCCGGAAAGGCCACTAGTCTTTAATAAGTTTGTGTATCCTTGCTCTAGACCCGTATATAGAATCCTTACTTACTGGTTCAGATAACTTTTATAAATTAAGTCCTTTTTAAATATAACCAATGCTTTACCTGGTCTGCAAGTTGAACACAACAGCTCCACTTTCGCTATTAATACTCATCGGTACATCCTTAAAACTTTCAATAAGACCATCCTTTTTGTAAACATGATCAAGGTTTGTGTCTCCGAAGAATTTAATCGCATTATGCTCTGGCAGGAATTCCATGCTCTCCAGTCCTGAAAATGAATTATGATAGCTAGAACTTTTTCGGCATGGGGTTTATTTGACAGTAGGTGATATACCCCAGCTTTGGATTTTTAGAAATCCACAGACTGAAACTGAACCGCAGTTAACCTTCACAGCTTTTTTCATTTGTGGGCGGTGGATTAGGACCGTCCCTACCACGCATTTAATATCCAGATATCCAGATGAAGTCCAACATGTGTAAGAAAAATTAAAAATTGATCAATATGTGACATGTTGGACCCGGTGGGGACCGAACCCACGACCTGTTGATTGGAGCGAAGCATGCCTTTGCTACAAACAAGCCCGTCAAACATGAAATTACTAAGCCATTTATCTCAATACACAAATGCATTCTTAAAATCGGTGTTTAAATGAAATGATTATCGTTTTTAAATAATTATGTGCTATATTAAATATATCCTGTCTTTATAAAAAGTATTTATACAGTTATCTATTTAGGTCAGGAAACGATCGTTTTTGTAACATAAACAAAAATTCTATTACCATGACCAAGTCGCAAAACAGCAAGGATGGTGAAGGTTAAAATTAAATTTCCAATAGCCAAAACAAACAATAAACACACGAGCGTCCAAAAGGCAAATGTTTTTCGCCCTCTGTATAGACTTTTACTGACTTCATTCCCGTTCTTATCAGAATAATTCCTTAATCCGCTATTTTTGTGTGGAAGAGACGAAGTTTTTGCGATCAACGCTCTTTCTGCTCGTTGTCGTTCCAATGTGTTATCAGACATGGTTTCAGACAGCGGTGACGCCCCACGTAGATTTGTTAGCATCTTTAGTTTCGAACTGCGATGTTATAAATAACTAAATGTATTTTTATCACAATGCACAACACAATTAATCTAAAGTCAAACTCAAATTATTGAGCGGAAACTGCGCCATTCCATTGGCTGAACAGTGACCAATCAAAACATGGAAGTAGTGTTGATCGGAAATATCGTGTTAAAATATAGACTAAAAACTATATCAAGTAAGTCGGTCAGGCAGACTAAAAATTACAAGATTTATTATAATTATTATTACAAGACTAAACAATGCAACAATAAAATATAAAAAATTGATAATTATTTTAATGTAACATTGGATCTTTAATATTACAAATTATATGTGATATATAACACAATCTGTGCAATATCGTTTATGAACGAAATCAATGTGTCAAATGGCAGTGCAGAATATGAAAATACAAAATTTTGACATTATGCTTTGTAATCATGGCGTCTGAGCGATACAGTTTCTCGCTTACAACTTTCAGGTGAATATTTAATTTATTTACGATATTTGTTAGTATATTGGATGAATATTTCAGTGCATGTAATCTAATCTGACATATTTCTTGAAAAATAAATTGCAATTATGTATATATTAACCGTAAAATGTCGACTTAAACTGTGCCCAGTCATTGCCGTACTTAAACTTTATAAAGTTTAATTATTATTTCAGCCCTTCTGGAAAATTGGTGCAAATCGAATATGCTTTAGCTGCTGTGGCCGCCGGCGGGACCTCCGTCGGTATTAAAGGTATAACTTTGTTATAGGTTAGAAGAATTCTCATAAAGACCAAGGGAAAAAACTTTGATTCTTTTGTTATACGTTTTCTTTTTCTTTTCAGCATCTAATGGCGTAGTAATAGCGACAGAAAATAAACACAAAAGCATATTGTACGATGAACACAGTGTTAACAAAGTAGAAATGATTACAGGTCATATAGGTAAGGAATTGTTATCTTTTTTTTAATATTTAACAGGCCTACAATTTTATGACATTTAATGGATTTTTTACAACTGAACTTCTGACATATTAACTCATTCCTAATGAGTCCGTTATGGTAGGTAGTTAGTCAGATTTGATAGTCGAGGAAACAGAAAAATTTATCATAGTTCAGTGGTTCAAATGCATAAATGTACCCAGTCTCCATTGGTAGTTAATCTTGCCATTCCACTCTCGAAAATTTTTATTGTCATGCCTACAGCTGACTTATAGTTTTTGTGGACTAGTTGGCAGAAAAAATGTATCCTAGGTAGATGTTTAAAGAGACAAAAACAGAGTTCAATTTAGATGTATCTATCTGGACCAACAATACTGTCTATTTTCCGATCCTATAATGCAGGTACTTCAATTTAAAGCGGTGGCCCAAAAGTGACTTTTTCTCACATTTATATATATGGCTACTTCTTCATATCATTTCAGGTATGGTCTACTCCGGTATGGGTCCAGATTACCGTCTCCTGGTTACTCAAGCTCGTAAGATGGCTCAGCAGTATTTCTTAATGTATCATGAGCCCATACCAACTGCTCAGCTTGTTCAAAGGTTGGCAACGGTGATGCAAGAGTATACACAGTCTGGGTATGTAAAAAAAATAATTACAAATTTTTGGAGGTAGTCTATATCACTTTTGTTTAATATTTTATTCCTCATCTTGTACATACATTGTGCCATGTACTTTCTGGTAAACAGAAAGCTAGGTTTTAAATAAGTAAATTCGAACAAACTTGAAAACACATTTGATAATATGCCATGTGGCCAGGGTGGTAGACAAAATGGCTTATGATTGATTAGGTAAATAAACAACACAGTAGTAGAACAGTAGTTTGATAACAAACCATAAATCTATCATCTAATGTCAATAGCTAACTAATAAAGTTTTTCATAATGAAACCTTGTGAAGTACTTATTTGTATTGTAGGAAACTTCGTTACGTAACGCGTTATGACACCAGTCTGTCTGGCTTGTCGATCAACATAAATAGCTTATTATCACCATCCTACTAGTTACCCAATATGCACAAGTAATATTTTCTTGTTATTTAAAAATAATTTTAAAATTCTCCGTGTTTCAGTGGTGTCCGTCCATTTGGAGTATCCTTGCTGATTTGCGGTTGGGATGGGGACCGGCCATATTTGTTCCAGTGCGACCCGTCAGGGGCCTACTTTGCATGGAAAGCTACAGCAATGGGCAAGAACTTTAATAATGGCAAAACATTTTTAGAGAAAAGGTATTTGTGTGCATCGTTATATATTTCTTTTATATAACATTAGTTAACCTGGCAAACATACTATTGCCATCACGTAGCAATAGAATGTTTGCCAATGTTTTAATCATAATTGATTACAATAAAAACGGTTTTTGTGGGTTCATTTTAAAAGATAGACGTATACTTTCGCAGAATTGTTTCAGATTATGTAAAGAAATCATTCTTGTATTTATATTTTTTGGTATCTTGAACCATTTTCACATCCAACATTAATAAACCTCTTACCTTTATCTTTGTTCATATTAGTTGCAGCCTGATGTTTTAGCCAAAAGCACAAACACAATAAAAACTCAAAACTATGGCCCGATTTTGTTTAACACTGTAACGCGGCTTGGTTAGTTGTGGTCAGGGTGGTTTAAAAAACTCAGAAACTGCGTAGGTTTCCGATGTTTACGCTTCGAAAACGATTCAAGATGCCCAAAAAATATGTATGAATTAATGATTCCTTTTTAAAGGATTTAAAATAATGTCTGTGATATGTCTATCTTTTAAGATTAACCTGAAAGAAGTCTGCTTAGAATAGAGAGCTTAAATAAAAATTTGAATGCTATTGGAGCTGAAGTTGCTCACGCAGTGTTTTATTATTTCAGATACACTGAAGATCTGGAATTAGATGATGCAGTGCATACAGCAATATTAACTCTCAAAGAAGGATTTGAAGGTCAAATGACAGCGGATAACATTGAAGTTGGCATTTGTGATGCAGCCGGGTTCAGAAGACTCGAGCCGGCTCATGTCAAGGACTATCTAGCAAATATTCCCTAATCTGTTTAATAAATTTGGTTTCTATTGGTATTATGCCTTTTATTTTATAAAAAAATATTAAATGTTTATGGCAACAATTATATGCGAGTTACTTAAATGACTATTTACGATTTAAAACGAGAAATACATGAAACAACCAAAATTAAAACTAGCTAATTAATATAGTTCGAGTTTTAAACCGTTACAGGTATTTTACTTACACATGTACATAAGTCTTCAAAGGAAAAAAAATAAAGTCTGACTATGGATCACTGCAAAGTAAAATATCTATGCATTGATCATATACATCAATTGTATTACCAGGCCATTAAATATTAAAAAAAATACATTAATTGTAGATTTTCATTTTTATTCCCATAATAACTAATCAATATATGTTATTTGACGTTGGCAACCTTTTTTGCCTTTACACATTTAAAAATAAGGAAGAAATTTCTATATTCCTATTACACAGTTTTCTAATAAGCCAAAACGTGTGACCCAATAGGAAATGAACATCAAAATATAAAATTCTCGTGTCACAGTTTTCGTTGCCATACTCCTCGGAAACTTTTTTGTGCTTATCCGGTATCTATGGGAATCGGCCAACATCTATTTAATCATCCCCCTAAATGTTAGGGGTAGTCCACCCCTAAGTTGTTTTGGACAAAATTTTTAATTTCTATTTTTTTATGATACAACATACAAAAATACACACAATCCTCAATTTTCACCCTTCTACGATCAACCATTATTTTTAATAGCCATTTTAGGAAAATTATTTATATGGCAAAACAACGAGATAGATAAATCATTAAACTTATATCTTGGTTAGGGCGAAGTCGCCGTAGTGTCTATGAATGGAACCAAATGTATATAACCAATTACAAAAGAACTGTGGCACTAGCACGAACATTTTGACATACCTACCTAATGTAAATGTTTCAAGTTCGCGATTTGTATTAAAACATGAACAGCGCCTCTGTCGGACGTTAAAGAAACTAAATTCGATTAATCGATTATGATTACGTAATATTGTTATCGATTAAAATTTAATTAATTACATCTTACAATAATTCTTATCCCTTTAAGGGATCGAGGGATGTTTACATAGCGAAAACTACTGTTTTACAAAAATTATAATAATTATAATAGATATTCAGACAATATTCAAAATCTACTTCTAAGGTATTAAAATACCTATAATATTTAAATAAAACACTTTAACGGTTTAAAACGCGATATATTAGTTAAACTTATTTGAAAATGATTTTTAACTTCGGCCCGACGTTTCGGATGCTTTGCAGCAGCCGTGGTCACGGGGAGAATATATCGCGTTTTAAACCGTTAAAGTGTTTTATTTAAATGTGTACTACTCGCGTAAACTATAGACAGTACCTATAATATTTGTTTTTTTTTTATGTTAAAAAAAGTAATTGTAAAAGACTTAATTAGGTTGTTTGTAGCAATACTAAATATGATATTATGATTAGATAGGCACATTATTTAAATTGTTATACATTAATAGCAATTCGTTTGATAAAGTGAAATTAAGCATATTATATTTTGTCACGTGTGATCCAAAAAGTTTTTCAATATGACTATCACGTCGTAATTGAACTAATTTAAGTGTTTTTAAATGTTAAATATTTGTTGAACGTTTAATTACAATAGCACCTGTAGTATGTTTTATTCAAAAAAACTTTATATTACTAGTTCATTAGTATTCGTATTATTTATAAAATCATTTATTTATTTTTCAGAAACATGTTTGACCTCGTTTGGAAAATCCAGATATTGAATGGGTGGTATTATTAAGGTATTACAAAATTCTGTCCGGTTCACTAACCACCGTCAGATGGTTAATCTGCATTTCAATTCAGTCTACGGATTTTGAAATGTGTAAAAGCCAAATAGTTCGACAAATCGTCTTGTTTAGATATTATACGGCTTATTGTTTATCATGATCCTGTTGAAAAATATATATATCGTTTTTTAATGACAGAGTGTGGGCATATTGTATTATCTTTATAACATTATATACTTTTAAAAATCGATTGATACAATACTTAGGGGTCATGTGTACCCTTGCCTCTTAATAAATAATAATTAACTTATATATCTGTCGTGGTTTTCGTTGGTTGTGCCTGTTAGTATCTGGTTATATCTGTAGAACATTAAATAAAATTCTATATGACACTATCTGATAATTATTTTTACCTGAAAATTTTAAAGCAGCCCACAAAGGTTTCTCTATGACGTTAGAATAATATTAAAAAAGGGATATCATTTATAAGGTAATTGAGTAATGAGGACATTTATAAACTGTTCAGTATAATTATTCTCAGAATTTACATTCGCTACCAGTCCTCAAATTAAGGAGTACAATAGACAAAAAGAACTGGAGAGAAACTAGCCATCTTTTTTACCGCCATTTATATTTTACAAAAGCCTTCAAGTAATTAAAATATCACCAATAAGCAGACAATGTTATCGATACAATTAGAAATTTTTTTCACACCACTACGCATACCATGATTCATAGATCGATTACATCACTTGTTGAAACAATCGATTACACAGGCGAGTTGCGACTCGTTTAAATTGTATTCTTATTCGATTTTCATTCATTCGCGTATCGTGTGTCATGGCGGCTGCGCGTGTGTTACGGACTAGTGGTTTATTCCTGTTATTTTCGATAAACACGCTCGCCGTATCGCCATGGTTAGTGACCGTGCAAGTAGATAAAGTTACATGCGGTGATGTAAATTGTGATTACCGTATAAAAGTGCTCGGTGATGTAAATCAGTGGTCGTTAACCTCGAAGGGAAACGTTCGGGGCGCCAAGTGTGATGATAACTTTTCAATTCGAAAATCGAACGTGCCCGTCGAATTGACTGCGCCGGCGTCCAGTAAGCTATACTTCTGTGCTGAGAAGGATGGAGTATGGTACCACCAGGGGGAGAAATTATATTTGTCCAGCGATGACGTCACTGGCTTTTTGGAACCGTAAGTAAAAATTGAAAAGTTTATGGCGCGGATTTCAAATGACTTTAGGGTCAGATGACCTTTATAAGAAGTGATATATAGGAGCTAATTTTAGAACGAGATTAACGCGCGTTTTTTACCAACTCCTGAGTCATTTGTAATATGTGGGTAGGTGACACTTTTCGCGAAATACGCGTTCTGTGCAGTTTGACCTACATGCTAATGATATATTTGAAACACTATTTTGAGAGGAAATAAAGAGGCCATTTCCTCTTAACATCGCGGTGAAGATACCAGGATCTCTTTATAAGAAAGTAATTCCAAATAAGAAAATTAGTATTAAATAAAAAAGAAACTGTTATTTATTCTTATACTTAGCTAGGTCTCGATTCAGCCTGTTTTTGTTTTATCACATTTTAGACAAATGGTATAATATGATGTACAAATAAGTTTCTGAGGTGCTAATTCATTTACAAATAATCTTTTGAAAAAATGTAAAACTCAAAAATTTACAATCTAAAATATACCTACTCCAAATTTTTTTTTCCGCTACGTAAACAGGTACAACGTATGTTAGGAACAATAAGTAAGAAATAAATAAATACCCAGGTACAATAATTATTAAGGTCGTGTTAGGAAAGACTATGGTAAACTCTAAAATGGTAAACTAAACTTTAGTCAAAACGGATTCCATTTTTTAATATTTAATATTTTCAAGGGCTTTTCGTTATTATCAAGTCAAATAATTAACAAATGAACCATTCATAAGTTATTATAGTGCAAAGGTGACGTCACTATGATATTTTTGGAGCTAATTATAGTCTGTGTTGCTTTCACGTGACGTTGCTCGTATTTTGGCGCCACTTCCAAGATTATATGTGGGCGTAGGACTGCGAACTATTCGAACGTACGATTAATAGATTTTACGTAATCTAGTAGACAGTGGGAATGTTTTTATCTACTACTAGCTTTGTCAGCGACTTCGTCCGCTCAGTGCAGTTATTTTGGGCATGTAAATTTGTTTTTGCAAACCTCTTCTCTTTATAAATCTAAGCTGTTGGTTACATCGGTCGTGTCCCATCGTTCTTGCAAGTGTAAAAGATGTCGCGGACATTTTTTTATGTCATTTAAAGGGTAATCATTCTTTCATACATATATTTTGGGTATCTTGAATCGTTTTCGCATAGAGATGAATAAATTCCCCCGTTTTTTTCCCACATTTCCCGCCGTTATTTTGCTCTTATTAGTCACAGCACATTGTTTTATAGCCTATAGCTTTCGATAAATGCTCTAACCACCACAAAAATAATTTTTCAATTCGAACCAGTAGTTCCTAAGATTAGCGGGTTCAAACACACAAACAAGCTCTTCAGCTTAATATATGAGTACAGATATTTTTTTTTGTAAGGATATAAATTGAAAGAATAACTTAAATACTGTCTATAGTTTACGCGTGTACACTTTAACGGTTTAAAACGCAATATATATTAGTTAAACTTATTTGAACATTATATTTAACTTCGGCCGCAGCAGCCGTGGTCACGGAGACTGAGACCAAGGCTGCTGCAAAGCATCCGAAACGTCGGACCGAAGTAAAAAATAAATTTCAAATAAGTTTATCTCATATATATTGCGTTTTATACCGTTAAAGTGTTTTATTTAAAAGAATAACATTAATGTTTAGTGTAACTAGCTGTTGGTAGTTAGGTGATTTTATTATGTTTTGTTCTTATTCTGCGTATAGCACGGAGTCATTTTCACTAGTTGTCAGAATCAACGTAATACTTTCCGTTACACATACTTGGCACGGCATAAAATATTTCTCTATATGATATTTATTGTCTGTAGTATATGCGACTAGTACACATTTAAATAAAACACTTTAAACTGTTTCAAACGCGAAATGTATTAGTAAACTTATTTAAATTTTATTGTCTGACGTTTCGGATGGTTTACCTCCGGTCGCCCGGTGACCACGGCTCCAGCAAAGCATCCTAAGTATCGTGAAAGTTTACTAATACATTTCGCGTAACTCAATTAAATCTCTAATCTATGGTCAAAAGCAAGTTGGTTTACATTTTTATATGAGGCTAGAGCCAGAGTGGCCTAATAACAAAAAAAATGATTTTCAATATATAGGAAAATGCGCAATTAACTTAGGCGAAAATCAATTTGCATTATTATTTGTGTAAGAATTATGTGGTCGCTGTGTTTTTGTAATAGTGTAGTCATAAAATTGCAGTTAGGCTACTCTGGCTCTAGCGGTCTCATAATCTTAATAATGATAAACATAGATTTAAAGGATACCAAGTAATATCTTCGGGTATTACCCAAGTACCCAGTGTCTATACTTGGGTATCTTTGAATACCGGTAACTGAAATATTGTACTGACGAGGAAAATGACACGTTTAAGGCAGTTTATTAATAAACTTTTCCTTATTCCAAAAGCACATTATTTTTTTATGACAACGGAGGACAGACAAGATACGCCGTCGACATATTTTGACATTGGATATTCGGAAATCCACAAATTTAAGCATACACAAAATGTTCGTGACCCGGACGGAATTTCGATATTACTACAAACCACTGAATATCCAGATTTCCAGACGAAGTCCAAAATGCTTCAAAAAAATATAAATTCATTACAAACGAGTTGCCCAGCTGTGGGAAAGGACTGTTAATTAATTAAATGATAATATTTCTATTCAATTACGTAATGGCGTCTTTGACTGGAATGTCTGCGTTTGTTTTAAACAATAAACAGACAAAACCATTTATTCATTTATGCAAATAACTGATTCACAGGTTGCTAACTAGAATAACGAATATTGTCTTGTATGAATCACCATATCTAAGCTAATATCTGATTGTCTGTTTCGGAAGACAAGTGTGCCTTTAAAGTTAGCTTTACGGCTTATTCATCTGTGGACGGTAGATCGTGACCCGGACGTAATTTCGATATTCCTACCACTCATTTAATATCTAGTTTTCCAACGTGTTTCAGAGAAAATATAAATTGATTAGAAACATTAAATACTGTTTATCGTTCACGCGAGTAGTAGTTTAAATAAAACACTTTAACGGTTCAAAACGCGATTTATATTCGTTGAACTTAAATACTGTCTATAGTTTACACGAGTAGTACACATTTAAATAAAACACTAACGGATTCACGTCTCCTCGTGACCACGGCTGCTGCAAAGCATCCGAAACGTCGAACGCCGAAGTTAAAAATCATTTTCAAATCAGTTTAACTAATATATCGCGTTTTAAACCGTTAAAGTCTTTTATTTAAATTCGTTGAACTTATTTGAACATTATTTTAATTACGGCTCGACGTTTCGGATGCTTTGCATATTGGTTTCTTGTTAAAATAATTGTCAAATATGTTTAACTAATAAATATCGCGTTTTAAACCGTTAAAGTGTGTCATTTAAATGATTAGAAACATTGCTATCATTGCGCCAAGGAGCCAGTCTGAAATTTTATACACTATATTGATTAAATAACCATAGAAAATAAAAGTGGTACATAATTTATTAATAAACTAGCAACTGGCATTTTGCCAATAGAAATTGAAAATTAAATTCGCAAATACCATACGTCTCCGACAAAAATAACTTACCTACCTCAATTTAATTATGAAATTACTGTGTACGTTATCTATACTAATATATAAAGCTGAAGAGTTTGTTTGTTTGAACGCTCTAATCTCGGGAACTATCGGTTTGAAGTGAAAAATTATTTTTGTGTTGGGAGCATTTATCGAGGAAGACTATATAACATCGTCATGTGACTAATACAAGCGAAGATGCAGCGAGAAATATGAAAAAAATGTGGAAAAAATTATAGGTTTCCGAGGCATACACTGCAAATACGGTCCAAGATACCTAATATGTATGAACGAATGTACTTCTTTAAATGATCTAAAAAAAGTCCGCGACGCTATATGTCTCTCTTTTAAGATTAACTTGCAATAACGATGGAAAGGTACGCGAACGACGTAGTGGGTAACAGCTTGAGCTTATAAAGATGAGGGGGTTTGCAAAAACGAATTTGGATGCCCAAAATATATATTTTTAGCGGACGAAGTCACTGACAGAGATAGCCCTTGTTAAAATATAATGACGTTGACATTTGTTGGAATATTTTACTCAAATTAAAGAAAGCAATATTAATATTAAACAAATTGTAAGTCAAATACTGTCTATAGTTAACGCGAGTAGTACACATTTAAATAAAACACTTTAACGGTTTTAAACGCGATATATTAGTTAAACTTATTTGAAAATGATTTTTAACTTCGGCCCGACGTTTCGGATGCTTTGCAGCAGCCGTGGTCACGGGGAGACAAGTTAAAAATCATTTTCAAATAAGTTTAACTAATATATCGCGTTTTAAACCGTTAAAGTGTTTTATTTAAATTGTAAGTCGGCAAGTTTTCTTAGTTTTTTCGTTCCCACTCCGGTAAATTAACCCGTCATAGCGATGTAAGCAATGTTTAAGGCCTAGCCTCGTTTATATTTTCACTATTATTGTTATAAATTTCAAATAAATAAATATAAAAGCTACACACAAAAGTTTTGGGACGACTTAAAACGCAAAATAGTATTCTTCACTACGACCCAACGTTTAAAATTTATAATACAAAATGGTTCGAGGTTTTAACTTCACTCTTGTGCTAAACGCTTTCAAATTGCACCCACTTACGAGTTGTCAATTCGAGTTAACGTGAGTTAATATTGAATAAGACTAAACGGTTTAAAACATTATTTGCGGTTATTTATTTTTAACGCGAAGCTAAAAAGTTGTATGCAAAATCATTTCATTTTTAACTTTACACCGTGTAGAAAACAATTTTAAAGTACCTACTCACTACTAGTATCTTGAGTTCAATAAAACGGTTTAAAACGCGATCAATATAAATTACTTTCGACTACAACCCCTTTTCTGTTTAGTAGTTACCAGCCAAGATTGTGGGGAAATGGTTATTGCTTTTAATGTATTTTGTAAATTC